GCTTTCTTTAGTAACTCAACTCCACGGGTTTAACCTGCACTAAGTTTTGTGCTGTCAAATCCAGTATGAACTTTCTAGACTGTATTCTTTAGCAGTACACTTTCCCCACTCCCCATTTCTAGTGAAGTCTTCTTATCCATGGACAGCTTGGATGATGCCAGAGACATGGGGCTGCTGCCCAGCAGCTCGTCTATGCTGGAGTCGCTTCAGCAACAACAAAGCCACAGGACCTGCACAAGAAAAGGGATTCCCTCAGATCCACACCCAAACTCCACTCAGTTGAGCCTCACCATCTGTTCAGATGAGCAAGGAGAATGGATTTCTCCTACGCCTGTGCATGGGGAGGGCTATAAGCTGGCATGTCAAGGTTAACATGGGGACACAGTGCTAGGAGGAGTCCACTTCTCTGGCACAGGCATATGCTGGCAGATGGATGATCTGGGTCTTTTTTAATAAAGCAGGAAGATGATGGGAGAAGGAGGCTGGAGGAAAGTAAAATAGGTCATATGTAGTATGACGTACACTATGACACATGTTAAGGGGTAATATAATGTACACAAGAACAGAAACTACATAAAATTCAGGTACACCACCTCCCTCTTTAAAGGCAGGGAAGATCCAGTCTTTGGCCCAAATGGGACAGTCATGCCAAAAGACCCTGGCCCCGAAGTGAAAAATAAGGGAAACTCTGGACATTCCTCACCACAGTTTACTCAAGGTCTAAGTGAGGATTTGTATATCCTCTCTGTGTGTGTTTGTGGCAGGGCAAAGGCAGAAGGTCAGAAGATCTGAACAACTTAAAGATAAAAAATTCTTAATAAGCAACATCTGATTTCTGCTCCCAGCACTTGGCTCTAGCCTCAGGCTATGGTGTGATTCATGTGGCTGTCAGGAAGAAAAGGCAAACCTTGGCTGCTCTGCATCATTTATGGTGTATTTCCTTTGCTGGACAGCCTCTGTGGAGAAGCATTCCTTACCTTTACCTGCTTTTCCCATGTGAGTCCATTGTTCCACACAGACTGAAGGCACCAAGGTGTGTGTCCTATTTAGGGCCCTGTTACACCAGGTGATGCACAAACACCCCAGCTGGGCTTTGTCCACAAACTTCTTTTGCCTTTCCTAAAAACAACCAATGGGGGGCTCCTCCAGAGTACCACCTAGGAGCTGATGAACCCCCCTACCCTTGTCTTTCAGGGACAGAGGGAACCAGCAGGATTACAGAGCTTGTAGCAAGTACCTCATTATGTTTGTAACTGGTTATTTAAGTTGATTGGACAAGAAAAGATTGCCATAGTGGAGAGACAGCCAGCCAGTAGGAGATGACAGGGCAAAAAGCACATCTATGGAATAGAGCCTTTAAGGTCTAAAGGGACATCTGGGGACCATTGTCATAGAATCCCAGAATGGTTTGGGTTGGAAGGGACCTTAAAGATCATCTTGTTCTAAACCCCCAGCCATGGGCAGAGACTGCTTTCACTAGAGTTGGTTGCTCAGAGCTCCATCCAGCCTGGCCTTGGACACTTCCAGGGACAGGACATCCACAGCTCCAGTCTGTCCAGCAGACTCTGGTGCAGTCGCTCTCTGTGCTGTAGAAATCTTCTCCAGCTCTTCCTCTTCCAGGCCATGTGGCCTTTGTGAAAGGCAGGGGAAAACAAGGCTGCAGTGGTGCTCCCAGCTGATACCTTTTCCAGTGATGTCCTATTCCCACCTAGTCATGTTAGTTCCAACTACAGCACAGTAGCTTATTGCTGCTAATATTTCTCAAGTACTCAACTGCTTAATAAACAGAAGTGGGTTTCTCTTTTTAGGGGGCAAGGACCCCAACACACTTTTTCCAGCTCCAGAAAAAGTCTATATTTTTATTCAAGTGGGTGTCCAGACCGACTGGTTGCAAATGTCACCTTGTGCCTGTGAAGCACGTGCAGGGCAGTGCTGTCACCCCACCATCTGTGCAGCTCCAGCACCTCTCCTAGTGCCTCAGAGCTCTCTCAGGAGAAAACCTCAAAACCTTAAGCTTGAGGAAAAACTGAGCACATCACAACAACTTCAGGGGCTGACAGCTGCCACATGAGTTGCACCAGTAAGTCAGCTTCACTGTTTTCCTTGTTCTTTGAGCATGGTCACAGCAGGAATGGAGGCTGTCGCTGTTCTCAGCCTCCTGGCACGACAAGAGGACATCTGAGCTTACCACTACCCTTATTACAGGAACTCCACTAAAGAACCTGCCAGAGGGGCCTGAAATCTCTTGTATCTAAACAGAGCTTGTCCTGCTTATTCCAGAAGTAGATACATCTTGTTCCTGTTTCATTTAATCCAGAATGGATTAAACTAAACAGAATCATGGCAGTCTGATTTCAGAATGAAATGCACATGTTAAACTGTCAGCAGACAGCTCCACACCCCCTGGATATTTAAAAGACCTTGAATCAGGTCCTTCCTGAGCTCTCAGGGATGAGGATATTTGTTTACTTTTGCTTTCCCCACCCTGTTGCCCTGGTAAGCTCCTAAATACCCGTGTAGTACAAGTAATAACTTAGCACACGATTTGAGGCGGCTGCTTTGAGCCCGTTGCTCACGGAAACGAGCCCGTACATCTGCACAAAGCCTCTGTAATCGCTACCAGACCTATGAGCTTCTCAGCCCATGCTTGTTTCACTGTGCTATTAACTTTACAGCCTAATTATATCTAAAACACTTGCCTAACCAAACTCATTAATTAATTAGCAGCAGGCTGGGAAAGAGGATACTCCTGGGATGGTTCAGGATTGCTCCTGCAGGGAAAGAAAAGAGGAGCCTTACAAAGTCAGAGAGAGAAACCAGGAAAAAGAGGAAAGGACAAAAGTTGTAGAAGTTGCTAAAAGAAAGCAGATCCCTCCTCGCCCCATTTTATACAGGATACAGTACCCAGGGACTGAATCCATAAATACATATAATTAAACAGGTCAGACTCTCCAGGCTCCCTCCAACACCCACAGGAAATGTGATATAGATTGAAAAGTCTATGTGCTCCTATCTTTTTTTTCTCCCTTTCTGGCTCAGGAACTGTAATTAAAGGGGAAAATCAGCCTCCCTCCTGCCTTAGAGTGCAGTGGCACAGCTGTTTTTCATCTTGGCTAGCAGGCTCTGTCCTCAGGCTACTAAGTGCTGAGTAATTTTTACCAAGCTCTGCTTGCAGATAAATGATGTTCTTCTCTTAGCTGCTGCCAGGCAAAGCTACAAATACTTGATCTTTTATTCTTTTCTCATAAACTCCTAACACTGAATACTAAAAATGCTGCCAGAGATTTTTCCACTGCCATTTATTCTCAGCATGGTCACAACTGTAATACAATTACAGACACCCACCCATTCGCTGGAGCTCGACTGCAGCTCCTCGTTAACCTGAAGCTTCCAATTAAAGGCTCCTTCAGTTTTGCATATACTCCAAGGACCCACTTCATTTTGTTTTTCCCCCAAAACACATTCCATGAGAAGGGCAACTGCTTTAAATAACTTCACACTAATTTTCTGGAAAAGCCTGAGGAGCGAGTGCCAGTCTCAGAAGAAAAGCCTGAGTCTGAGTGTGCAGTTTGGGGAATTTCTCTCACAGCTATAACCATAAAAGTATCTGAAAGCTTTTGACTAAACGTAGCACAACTGCTGGCCAAATCCAGTGTGGCCTCAGAACAAAGGAAAGCATCTAGAAAGGTACAGCACTGGAAAGCCATTAGTTTAATTCCAGTTTTCTGCCATGTTTCTAGTGAGATCTTATGCGTTCTAAGAAACTGCATAAAAATTAATTTAAAATGGTATAGAAAATAATTTTAAAAATACTAGTTAATCTTGGCAATGCTTTTCTTCCACCTATCTCCAGTGAGTGAAACCATGAACAAGAAGCCAGCACAGGGAGGAGGCTGAAAACTGGTAAGAAATACCATGGCTAATTTTAGCCTTGTTTCCAGTCATGAAGCATGAAACACAGGGAGTAATGGTGCTTACAAAAGTACCTGCACACTTTTTAAAGGTAAAGCAAGGTTTCAAAACAATCTTGATTTCCAAGGTATTTTTGAAGTATAAGACTAATAGTCTGTCAGCTTCCTAAACAAGCTCATGCCTTTAAAGATCACCTTCCCAGCACAGACCCCAGTCTTATGGGATTATGGCAACAGGTTTAGTAGGATCAGCCCCCAGTGCAAGCCAGCTTTCCATTTAAGCCATAAATGAGGGAGAAAAGAGCAGAGGAACAATTCTGCAAATCAAAAGCCATTAATGAAAGAAAAAAAGATGAGGCAGAGGTAGCTTTTCTTTTAAAAAGTGAAAATCTGAACTGCCTTGATGGCTGTGGCAGAGAGGGCATTTCCCTCACTTTCTTGTGTCTGTTAGCTGGGGGTGCACAGCTAAAGAACAGCTTCAGCCTGAACTCTGTTTGCACGTTGCATATTTCAAACCCTGGCTTTAAGCAATCCCCGCACTGTGAGCCCAACGTGCAGGTGTCTTGGCCTGTCTGTGCTGCTCAGTGATCCGTGCTCAGATCCAGCTTAAGCCCCGTGAACGAGCAGGACAGGATGGATTTGTATTTCCGGATGGGGAAGCTGGGAGAAAGGCTCTGCATCTGGATTCTGAACCAAGGTACAGCGTTTTTCTCTTGCTGGCCCTCAGGGTGTGGCTGTCTTCTCTCAGCCCACAGAGCTCTGCTTAAACGCTATGGTAAATGTATTCTGTTGTAGTGTAGTTTCTAATTTTAAGTGTTCTCAAGCACTTAAACCAGATTGTAAATATCTGAAGCTCCAGGGAGTGAATCTGTGCCATCTTTCCATTATTAAAGTGTTCAGACCCAGGGCTGGACTCCGGTCCAAACTATGTGTCAGGGCAGTGCCAGGAGATGCTGGGGCTTAACAGTGTTCCTGTGACTGAAGTGTGAGAGGGAAACAGTCCATGTTAAACACACTGCACATGGAGCACTCGTCTTAAATGTCTTGTAAAACACATGAAACATTGGTTAGAAACATATTCACCACTGCTGACCACACAGGTTTTTATGTTTAATAGAAATTAAATTAGTAGCTTGATATACATAATGTGACACTTTCCAGTCCAGTAGTTTCCAATTCCTGCTTTCAAGTCACAGAGTGAATACTGTACAAAAATAATAACAAAGAGCAACCAAAGAATAAACACTGTCACTAACACACTGGACCCAGAAAGGCTACGTTTATCTGGAGCTACACATGCCAAAGGATACAGAGTGACGGCCCCATCTGGTACAGTCATGCATTACCAAGGGACAGAGCTGTGCTGCAGGCACACCCGCTTCCTCCAGGGCTGGGGGCGCTCACCGTGCTCCATAGCCGTAGTAATACGGTTCATCCGGGCGGTATCCATAGGCAGTCGCTGGGCGGCCCGGAACCCCCGGGGACTGACCGAATCCATCAACTCCCATGCTACAAAATAACAAGGAGAGAGAAACTGCAGGTTTTTGTAGGGCAGAGAAGGTACACTAAGGCTGGTGTCTCCAACTCCTCCTGCCAGAGTTTTGTGAGGCAACTTTGCAAGCCATGTTCATGTTTCCCTTTCTAGCCAGCATTCCTCTGTCTCCTCTTCCCCGGTGGGAAAAGAAATGCTGCAGAGAAATCAACACAACTCCTATTGAGGAAAGGCTTCCAGGTCCATAGGAGATCTCAGAAGAGACAGACCCCTTCTCTTCCATCCTTGTATGGACTTACTGGCCAAGAACTTCACTCCTGTAACTGGATTTCTCCCTCTGTATACTGAAGTTAACATGTCTTTCAGGAAAGGCTTCGTGCATGCTTCTGGCAAAGGCCACTGTAACCCTGCCCTACACAGCACCTCTGAACAGTCTCAGTCCCTGCCTTCAGTACACTTCTGAAGTGCCTGGGAAAACACCAGCTAGAAGGGAGAAAGTGAGAAGATGTGACACAGCAACATAGTTCAGTAAAGGATGGTGCTTTCAGGTGGACTATAGGTTGGCAGCCAAATGGCAGAAAGCATTCATCATATACTGAAAGGCTGTGTACTAATGAGACAGAATAATTCATTTTTCATATAGAATAGCACCTACAGTCTCCCTTAAGAGAAATCCCTTACACCTAAAGAGTACCACAGCAATGAATTAGATATTAAAACACAAGAACTGCATAGGGAAAAGTGGCACATTTTTCATGCTCCACAGTAACTCTCATGGAGGAGGTAGAGGAAAAACGAATATTGCTTAAGACACTGGACTACTGCCTATTCATAGTTATGTCACTTCTTAACTTCCACTTCAGTAGAGGGACAAATGAAAAAGGATCCTGATTTATTTTCTGACTAAAGATGCATTGAAAGGAGCTGAACTTCCCCTCTGAAGACTGTCAAAACACAAAGAACCAAAGTGCCTTTGGAGTGGGGAAAAGCTGAACCTCATTACTGCCAATTATCCATATGGAACATGGGTTATGCAACAGGCAAGGCTGGGAAAGAATGACCCCTCCAGAAGATGTACAATGGGTGGGCCCCAGGCCCTGGCTCAGCAAGAAGCTGGCACTGCTGAATCAGTTGGACTGAAAGGGCTCAGCTTGCAGTGGTGGGGGACCATGTCCATCACTCTGTCCTCACAAAGGCACTTTCCCCAGATTGTGTCTCAGTGAGGTCCTAGAAAAGGATCCTTGGTGCCTGGTTTCTCAGCAAACTAGTTCACTCATGGGATGTTCTAATAATCAGGTGAAGGTGGAAAGTCTGAGGCTGAGATTTGTCCTCTGAGAGGGAAAGGGACACAGTCAACAGCCAAGCTGCAGAGAAAATCACTCCAGTTTATCTGAAAATACCTTGAGAAATGCCATGTCCTGGAAGTGCTTTGCATTCCCATGTCTGCCTGTGTGTATTTGAATGGGCAATGCCCCTGTCCCCACCTCCTACACCGAGCCATCAGTCTGAGCAGAGCCTTCAGCACAGCAGAGAGCAGCAGAGTGGCTGTGGTGTATCCTGCAGTGGTGCAAAGCTCTGTGAACGCACTGCTCTGGCTCCACACCTGCCTCTGGCCACCGGTTCTTTCCTGTATCCACTCTGAAGTCCTGTTACTCTTTTTCAAGCTCATTAGGAAATGAGCTGGTGACCTCTGAGGCACCTTCCCCAGCTGCCTCCTTTGTACCTGGCAAACAACAGCTTTCTCATTATGAGGCCTGAAGCTTTGAAAGAGGGGATTAAGAGAAATCCTGTTACTTTGTGTTTCACTCTTATCTCCAGAAACCCCAAACCGTGAACTCACCTTAGCCAGAGAATGGTCCCTGCTCCTCCCTGTTCCTGATTTCCAGAATGCAAAGGACTGACAGACAGACCTTGCACGGGCTGCCCTTGGGGGCCCATGTCTCAACACAGACCCCAAAGCTCTTCCAAGCAAGCCAACAAGGACAAGCAGAAAGATGAGTAGTATTTTTGGCAGTTCAAAAAACAAACCAATTGAAGAACTACCGTAAAACATCAATTCTTTTGGAGTTCTTTTGGTACTGTCAGTGCTAGGAGTTAATAACATACTAAAAGAAGGTGTAGTGGGATTTGGAAGTGCAGGGTCGAGTTCTGTTGTGTTTCTACAAGTTCCCAGTTACATGTGTAACACTGCAGAGAAGCAGAACTCTTTAAGGCTACCTTCAAACTCAGGAATTCCATTGTTGTCTTCCAAACATCCTTAAAACATCTATGCTTTTCTGGGTTTATCTTTCAATGTTGTTTGTTGTGACTATAACAAAGTCAGTTGTGGTAAGTTGCTTTTATTACTAGTGTGGTAGAATAAGGGCTTTTTGCAACTCTGCTCCCTACTGAAAAGCTCATTCTGGAATGATGTTTAAGTGAGTGAGGAGAGGGAGGGTGCCTGAGGCTGCTGACTGCAAGTCAAGCTTGTAGGGGACATGCCTTGGCCCACAGGAGAGACAGAAGGAGCTATCCTCGGGTTTACTGTGGCAGAGAGGCACACAACAGACAGGAGTTGGAGACCTGTCCTGAGCTTCTTTTAGTCCCTCCATTATACACCCCAAACTAAAATAGCACTGACTCTTTGGGGTGAGGTGTAATAACGCCCTGAGCCACATGGTGGCAATGGGCCTCTATCGCTGGAGGCTGAGCTCTTCCAGCCACTTCCAGCTCAGTAATCCTTATTCAAAGAACTTCTAAATGTATTTAAATTGATAACAAGAGCAGGGAAAATATGGTTTCAATCACATTCTCAGCAAATCATTTTTTTAATATTTTTTTTTATAAACGTGTAAGTAATTAGGTAAAGATCCCTAGAGTTTAAACTTTGAGGAGTATCAGTTATTTCCAAATGGTTCAGACATATGTTAGTGTCCTGAAGAAAACTGGAAGAGATGGATCAGCTGATAACTGCTTTGGACAGCTAAAAAAAAAAAAAGGAACAGAAAATCACATTAAAACACCTTGATCAAATCACTACTCTCTCCTATCTAAATATTTCTCTTAAGTAAATGAACGTTTGACCATGCTTCAAAAAAACTGGCTTCATTTTTACAAGTTAGTGCTCTTGAAGCACACCAGCTTTGCCTGTGGGACTGACTGCCCTGGCAGGCTGCAGCCCAGAGCCTGTCATAGTTGAAGGGAAGGCTCCTTAGCCCAGGAGATAACGGAGGGGTAGGACAACCAAACAGCCAACACGCGCCTGGAGACTGAGTCCAGAGTCTGGCTCGCTCAGGAGGCTGACAGGCCAAGGGCATAACCCACCAAGGTGGAGACGGGTTTAAAAACCAAGTCCTGATGAATCCTTGCCCCTTCTGCCAAGAACAGCAGAAGGGGAGAGCCAGGAGAGATGGCAGTTCTGCAGCTGTAAACACTGTTGGGTAACGACTGGCCTGAGATCATGATTTGTGCCATGTGTGCTCAAATTTATACCAGCAACCGAGTTCAAAACTTGCTCCTAAGAAAAATGTGTTGTTGGCCTTATGATACGGCATCTACCAGGAAACTCAGTGCTGAGCAGAGCAAGCACCAGCCTGTCTTCCTAAAAAGTTAAGGACATGTAATTATGCCATTTAGGGCAACAATACACATCCCAGAATTAGTATTTTGTCCTCCCAATACCCCTATTCACTTTGGTACCTAGCAGAAGTGCATGCACCCCTGCAGTTGTAGACTGGATATGGATCATACAGCACCACAACAAACCCCTCAGATAAATGGCTTAAGCCGCTGCCTCACTGTGCAAGTGATTTCAGGCAGTTCTGTCTCTCGGCATCGCGCGCCTGCGCACAGAGATCCATGTCTGCAACCCACGGGCACAGCACAACCGTGTGCTTGTGCAAACCTCACCCCACGCCTGGGGCTGATGGAGTTAAACAGTGAACAGCCCAGCTAATTACTACGTACTGCTAACCTCAGTTGCTCGTTCATTTTGAGACCCTTTAAAATATGAACTGTGTATTTTACCCCTATGCACTCTCTTAATGATTTGTTTTTTTTAGACTGAAATCACTTCCAGCCATCAGTTATACTCGAGGTCTCTACACATGCACTTCTCCAAGCACAAATATTTCTTTTTCCTATTGGTCTGCCAGCCCCTGTCAGAGCAAATTTCACTTTAAACTAAATGCTATGATACTTAAAACCTCTTGGATTACTCAGGCTGCTAGTGTGATCTATGACCTTCCCCAAATGACAGCTGAACTTTCCAATTTGCTTGTACTGCTGGGGAACTGAAGAACACATGCCGAAGAGGAAAATGTTCCTGATGTGCATGAGTGAGGAGAGATTTCTTAACAGCTCTGCTTATTGATGCTTGCTCTGATTCATAACATCCAAATTAATATGCCCATGTAGGATCCTAGATGCTCTCACATAATTTAAGATGTAAAGAATGACTGTGTCCCCCACTCGACAGGAAATGCCAGCCGGTGTCCCACTGTACCCACAAAATACTTCCTTTCCTTAACTCCCTCCTGCCCCCAGAGCCCCAGAGACTAGACAGGCTTTGTGGAACGTCTGGAAGACCTGGCAGGCTCCCACAGAGAGCACTCCACCAGGAATCCTCTGCTGGGGTTTCCCTGCAGGTACCTGTGCTGCTCCCCAGGGCACGGTACCAGAGGAGAGGCTCTGAGCATCTCACTGGGTCATTAGCGCCCGGGTGCAGAGTGACCGCAGAGCTCTCCTGAGCCACAGACACCTGAGCCTGTCCACACCAGTGCTCACACTGGTGCCTGTGCTGGTGCTGACAGGGTGCTCTAAAACTGGATCCTAATTCCAAGGTACTAATTCCTCTGGCATAAGCAGGGCCTCAGAAAGGCAAGTCCAGCGTCGCTGAGGAAATTCTTGGTCATGAGTAACCCCTTAAAGTCCAACTGAACACTCCCCCCCCCAGGAAGATCCACGGATCTTGGAGCGATCCTAGCAAAAAACCAGTTTGGGAAGCAGGCCTGTACAGTCAGAGGTATGAACAACTGTG